TATATATATATAACTCTAAATTCAACATTCTTTAAACCCTAATATTTCACTCTATTTTCAATATTGTCTTGTTAAATTTATGGAGGTCCTTTTCAAATATATGAATTATTATTATTATTATAATCATTATTAAATTGTATTTTCTAGTTGTTAAAATATACTTTTAAAAAGAACTTTTTAGAAGAAAATATGCTTCCAAAAAATATTTTCTGGAAGAGAAAAAAAATATTTCTTTTTCCAAAAGTATATTTTTGTCTTTTGAAAAGCACTTTCTATAAGTTTATTTATTTTTTCTCTTTTGGAAAATACTTTTGTGGTAGGGGTGAATAGGTAGGCCATACTCGACATGAAATCAAACTAATTGGAAAAAAAATGACATCCAAGTGGGTTCATACAGGTACATGGGTAAGGCAAGTTTTAAAATCGGATTAGATGGGTTATCTTAATAAGGTTCGATTTTGGACCTTTTAAATCATTAGGAAGAGTAAACACTCAATTTAGTCCTTAAAATATGGTAGATGTGACTGATAGGTCTCTATTTTTTTTATAGCATTTGTGTTCCCAAATTTTAAATATATTATGTAAGTTAATTTTTTTTATTATACTTAATTACTAACTTTGTTAGTCTCATGACCAGTCTGTTCTAAACCCTAAGAGCACTTGTAGAGGAAAACCTAAAGGAAGCCATAAGAGAAAGTGTGAAGTAGCAACTAAGGCAACAAAGAGTGTGCTTGTGCTATGAGATCATCACTTGGGGTAAAGGGGAGTGAGGGATGTTTAATCCATGGACATATATGAAAGGTATGAGTAGCGAGGCGATCCCTAAGTATCTTAGGTACTTTCAGAATTCATTTATATGAATGCTTATGTTTAATTTGAGTATGAAACTGTTGATGTATGATGTTTGTGGTTGTATTTTTGTGATTGATTTATTGATGTACAAAATTGACTAGTTGGAAGGTTACGGTGAAATGTATAAATTAGGGTTTCTTGTGAAATATTGGATGGATTTGTATGAATTGGTCTTGGATACATCTTCTCTCTCTCTCTCTTTATATATATATATATATATATATATATATATATATATATATAGAGAGAGAGAGAGAGAGAGAGAGAGAGATCCGTTTACTTTAGGAATAAGTCTACCTAAATTTATTGCATTCAATAACTCATGTTCTATCCATCAAATTTCAACAATCCAATCATTGAATTAAAATTTCTAAATACATAGATCAAGTCTTCAAATTTTTTAAAAAAATTAAAAATCATTTGATACTCCGTTTCATTAATTCAAATCAATATATAAAATAATTTTATGATTATTTATCAATTTGAATTAATGAACAAAGTATCAAATAATTTTGAAATATTTTAAAAATTTGCAGATTTAATTTATGCATTAAAATCTTTAAATTCAACGATTGAATCGTTATAATTTTATTTAAAACATGAGTTATTAAACGGAATAAGTTTAGGTAAACTTACTTTAAGAATAAATGATATATATATATATATATATATATATATAATGCTCACACACAATTAAGAGCATGTTTGCATTTGTGTCAAAGACATGAAGCAACCCTAACTTCTCCATCAGATCCATCTTTTTGACGTAAAAATATAGGAAGACGTGGATCAAAGACGTGTAAGCAAACATGTACTAAGTTTATAAATCTGAATCTTAATGCAGATTTTTTAATAGGCTTAAAAAGATCAGTATTAATATTTTGGGGCGAGTTTTTTTATGTAAATAATTTTTAATAACTATTAATCCCACCTCACCTTTTAATATGCCTCCAACATAGTAAGGAGATTAGTCATTGTTATTAGCGGTGGATACTCTAGGAACGAAAAAAAATGTTTTTCCTTTAAAACATTTACCACATTTGTCTCAACATATACGTAAAAATAGTTAATTCAATCATTGGCATAAATTTATTAACGATTACTCTTTCATTATAAGAAGCCATAAAAAGAAATACACATTTTTTAAATACTAATAAATTTTAACTATTTTTTTTTATCTCATTTAATATTATTTTTTTTCTAAAATATTTTTTATTTAACGATAACTTTTTAGTTGTACTAGTTCTTTTTTTTCATTTATAACAAGAATAATTTTGAAAGAATATTATGACATTAATAAAATTTAATGCAGACAATTAATTTCTTTAATATGTGTGAAATCAATTTTTTTTATACTTATAATAGAAAACAAAGGAAGTATACTATTTTTCTAAAATGATCTTTAAAATTACTAAAAATACTAATAATACACTCATTATTATTATTAGGTACAATTTATTGGGTTCCAATTTTTATTTAAAAAGTCTGTTTTCTTATTTTTTTAATTTTTAAAAAATTAAATATATTTTAATATATCATTTGGATCAGATCATTAGATTTATATGTAAAATGAAAAATAAAAAAATAAATTCACATTAGATAACTTATAAAATATATTTTCATATCATCAACAGAATAAAACATTCAATATTATAAACCTATTTGTTAACATTAGAAAATACTACATTCATTTCTATATATAAGATTCAAATACCTAATTCACTATGATTATGAAAAATAGTTAATATACTTAATAACAATAAATTTGTCTTATATATATATATATATATATATATATATATATTTATTTACTATTCTTGTACTTTCTTAACCAATTAGAATGTATGTATGTCTTCTAAAATAATTTCATCAAGTGAAGATAACATGTTTTAATTACGAGTATTTTAGTATAAAAATAACTAATTAATAGATCAAACTAAATTGAGTCTTATATAAAAGAACAAATAATTGTTCTAAACTGAGTCTTTATAAATAAGAACGGATATAGTACTACTTGAAACATTAAAAATTAAAAATTTTAAAAATAATAAATATCATTAAATTAAAACTTAATTATGTCCAACATCACAATCTACAAATTTATCATATCTCATCCTCAACATTACAAACTCAACAAAATATCTCAAATGTTACAACTAAAACTATAAAATTCTTATATGCAGTCGATACCCAACTTTTATAAATAAGAAATGCTCACTATGAGACAAATAGAAAATTTGAGTTTTATTTCTATTCTTTAATTTTGATTTAATGAGCCGATTTATAATAAAAAAAAAGGTTAAAATGAACCACTTATCCGTTATGCATATTTTAATAGTGCCTCTTATTTATAACCCAAAATAATAATAATAATAATAATAATAATAATAATAATAATAATAATAAATATTAAAATAATTGAATAGATCAATTTGATTCAGTTTTTGAAAATCTAAATCTAACATCTAAAATAAACTGATTGAATTTTCAATTTTTAAATTTAAACTAATTTAATAGCCTAAATCAATCTGATTTTTCGATTTAAATTTATTAGATCGGATGTGAAACCACTTTTATTACCTAAAAAATTGAGGATAAAATTTCCATCTAGTATACCAAGTATTGGTGCTCTCAAATTAAAATTTCACCTCACAAATATACATAGAGTAAAGATTATATAAAATGTCTACACATTTTGTGTGGCCCCGCAAATATCGACACATTATCAAAATAAAATTGTAGGACTATACTAACAATCACTACAGGAGTTATGGTAAATTATTTGTTTTGTAAATTAATTAATGTATGGAATAGATTAATGATTATGTAGTTGTCTCCTCTCGTATCCTCATGTGAGATGAAAAGAGACAAATTTACAATATTTATTATTTAAGAGTATTATGATGAAAAATAATTATAAAAAAGGGAAAAAGAATCGCAAAGTAGTTGTTCTAAAAAAAAAAAAAGAGTATCTCGAAGTAGTCTTAAAATCTTTTTTTCTTGAAATGGTCTTGTATATATATGGCAATATTTTTTATTCAAAATCCCTCCACAACAATGATAGGAATTTAATAAAAATATATTATAACTATATTAATACTAATAATAAAAGGTATATTCCTTTTTAAGTACATACATTTTTTTTAACTATTTTATTCTTTAATTATATATTTTATTTTATTCTTTTTTTACTTCACCGTAAACTTCTCAATGTTCTCATACTCTTACAACTTTCAAGTAACTACTTATTGTATTATTCTTTTTCTGTTTTGAAAATTGAAAGGCAAAAAGTTATTCTCTCACCCTAGTTATATATTAAAAGGATTTTGCTGTCACTTTTCTCCACCCAGTTATATATCAGAGAGTTTGTTGTTTTGTGGTGTAAATGTAAACTTAAGGAGCAGGAATAGGAGAAGATGGTGGTGATGGAGATGAACACAGTGCACGTTGTGTTTGGAACAGTTTTGGTGGTGTTGATGCATGTCTTCAACAGCTTGGTGTTGAGGCCAAGATCACTGAGAGCAAAGCTTCAGAGGCAGGGGATTCAAGGGCCTCCACCTCACTTCTACCTTGGCAACATCCCACAAATTAAGACCCTTTTGCTTCAAGTTCAGTCAGCACCAACCACACAAGTCAAAGACAAAGAGCAAGATGTTTCTCCTTCACATGCATGGCCTTTAACTGTCTTCCCTCATGTTCAAAAGTGGATCAAACAATATGGTCGGTTAATTTGTCTTGTCTCATAAACATGTTTCCTTCTTTCATAGAAAAATGAATCAACAGCCCCTATTCTTTGAAATTGATATTTGGTTATGAATGAATTAAAGAAAAAAACGTTTTAGAAGCTTTTTTAGTGAGATTTGATTGTAAATGTTCTAAATCTCAAATAAAAGCACACACTTGATATTTTCTAGTAACATTTTGGGCCATTTTTACCGAATTTATTGGTTGGCTAAACATTTTGAGGCTAAAGCATTGAGTTTTAGTTTGGTGGTGGTTTATCCTGAAATCTCTGTTATTGATTCGATAAAGTTGATGGAAATGTTCAATATAGGCAGAAATATTAATTTCCAGATTCCATAACAATGTGTATATTGGGTTTGGAAGGAATTGAATCAATTTTCAAAAGCAAATATGAAATCTGATACAACCCAATAAAAAAATTTCAACTTTTCAGGTCGGTTTTTCGATTTTACTTAACTGAATCGATTTATGATCACCCTTAAATGTGTTTACATTTTAAAATACTTGTATATGTGAAAGCCTTCTCTATTGTTACACTCAGGACCCATGAAATGTCAGGACCGGTCCAGAAAGCCCAGTGTGTTCCGGATTCAGATTCTCTACCTTTGAGATATGAAAATTATGGTAACTTAATGCATTTAAACCGTTAGATTTATAAAAATAAATCAGATTGTGACACATGTACAATATATATTTTGACTTAAATATACACGTGTCACAATCTGATCTATTATTACAAATCTAACGGTTTAAATGCATTAAATTACCATAACTTTCCCTTCATAAAGTAGGAGATCCATTTCCGTGTGTTCCACTGACAAGTTTACAGTTGCAATAATCATAGCCATAGTAAAAATTAATCACAAGCCAAAAATAATAATACTTTGCAGGAAGTGCTGATATGAAAATGATAATCCTATAATCTAGTAGGTTGATATGATTTCATTGTTGTCCATTTTAAGTCCAAATTTTGATTTCCGTAAGATATATGCAGGTTCCATGTACTTGTTTTCTTCTGGGAATGACCAGTGGCTAATGGTAGCAGATATAGAGATGGTGAAGGAAATTATCATGTACACTTCTTTGAATCTAGGAAAGCCTACTTATCTGTCCAAAGATCTGGGGCCACTTTTGGGCCAAGGTATATTGGCATCAAGTGGCCAAATTTGGGCTCATCAGAGGAAGATAATTGCCCCTGAACTGTACCTTGATAAGGTGAAGGTAAGTGTATTGTACCCTGCCCAACCTGCTCGAGACAATTCTGTTTAAAATACGGTCAGATACTAAATGTGAACACCTATTTCACTAGACTCAACTGTCATCGGAGATGGAATGTTGCATTGGCCATAGAGATTAGAGAAGAAATAAATGCAGTTAATATAAAGTTTGGTTCCTGCAAGTTATGACTTATGTTGCTTTGGCCTCAAACAGTGTGCCTATAAAAATTGGTTCAAAAAAAATTTCAACATGTGAACAAGTTTACTCTATTCAGGGTCCAAGGCAACATAAATGGTCACATTTAGGGACCAAATTGTATATTATTATTATTATCTCAAGTAATCTACATGAGTGCTAAATAATTTCAGTTATACAGCATTACAATATCAAGCAATATCATATAACTTGCTTTTACTGTGAATCATGTTGAAGGCAATGGTTAATCTGATAGTCGAGTCAACAAATGTGACACTAAGGTCTTGGGAGGCTAGACTTGAAAGCGAGGGAGATATTTCAGAGATTAAAGTTGATGAAGATCTGCGAAGTTTGTCAGCTGACATAATTGCCAGAGCTTGTTTTGGGAGCAATTACATTGAAGGAAAAGAAATATTCTCAAAGCTTAGAGATGTTCAAAAGCTCTTGTCCAAAGTACATGCTGGAATTCCAGGCTCTCGGTATTTATGCTAACTAAAGTCTTTTATGCTCATGAATTGTGAGAGATATCATGTGCATGTTTTCTATTGTAATGTTTTGCTTTTTCTTGCATGTTTGTCATGTATTTGTATATGATGTTCTTCTTGTTAGTGATTTTATTAATTTGTGTTGTACCTCGTTTTAGATACTTGCCTAACAAAAGCAACAGACAGCTATGGAGATTGGAGAAAGAGATTAACTCAAAGATATTGAAGCTCATAAAACAACGCCAGGAGGAAACTCATGAGCAGGATCTCTTACAAATGATACTTGAGGGTGCAAAGAATTGCGAGGGTAGTGATGGCTTCTTTTCAAATTCCATCTCTCGCGACAGGTTTATGATAGATAATTGCAAAAACATATTCTTTGCTGGATATGAGACTACTGCAATCACAGCATCATGGTGCTTGATGCTGTTAGCTACACACCAAGATTGGCAAGATCGTGCCCGTGCTGAGGTGCTTCAAGTTTGTGGAAAAAGTGCTCCAGATGCAACTATGCTTAAAAGCCTCAAAACGGTATGTGCTTGATCGTGGACTTCAGCAACATGTCATGGAAATTTCATTTCAAAGATTTAGATTGTTCACAATGCAGAAAGAACACAACGAATTTGTAGTTGCAGAAATTTCATTAAATTTTTTTACCATTTCAATTGCATCTTGATCTCCATAAAAGGAAGAAAACAAGTTGAAAGATCATTTTGACATAATAGATCTATTGGCATTGTGCAAAGGATTGTTGCCTTAAAATGCGCAAAACATGCAAAAAAGTTATACCTAAGAGATGAAAATAGGATGGAACATAGAGAAATGAATCATTCTATATAGCACTCTTTTAGTGGAGGCTTTTTTTAATTCAACATTTTTTGGTGTCTTAAAATGTAGATTGTAGTCTAACTCAATCCTACAAAATCGGTCTATAAAATGAGTGTTGCTCCCATTTATATATTCTATTTGTCTTATCTCTAGTTAATGTAAGATTTGAGTTTTTTCAATACAACTCCTAGTATCCAATACTGATGAGTTTGGTGCATGGATAAATAGTTGATAATCATTTTTAAATGGTGATAGGAAGACTTGGGTTTTTTCCATTTCAATGTTTCATGTGCATTGTTTCTGACCAAGTAAAAATGTTACAAATGCAGTTAACCATGGTGATACAAGAGACTTTGAGGCTTTATTCACCACAAGCACATGTTGTTAGAACAGCTTTCCAAGATATTAATCTGAAAGGCATGCTGATTCCCAAAGGAATGAATATTCAGATTCCAATCCCACTTCTGAACCAAGACCCTCAACTTTGGGGACCTGATGCTCACAAGTTCAATCCAGAAAGGTTTGCAAAAGGGGCTATTGGAGCATGCAAGGTTCCACAGCTTTATATACCATTTGGAATAGGGCCACGTGTCTGCGTTGGACAGCACTTAGCCATGACAGAACTGAAGGAGATTTTGTCTCTCATTCTGTCAAAGTTTCGCTTCTCTCTCTCATCAAGTTACTGCCATTCACCTGCTTACCATTTGGTCATAGAACCTGCCCATGGAGTTGTTCTTAAGATGTCAAAAATTTAAGCTACAATATGTAACTCTTACCCTTTTCTTTGGGGTACTTTTCTGCTTGTGCTTCGGAAATGAAATGGTTTTAATCATAAGACAAATCATTTTACAAGCAGATGAATAATGAAAACATGTGCAAGAAATGTTTATGAATAAATTTTATTCATGTTAGATCATAATTGGTGTTTTTCTAATTTATTAGTCCTGTATTTTTATAAAAGTACAGCAATTCGGCACCTATAGTGAAAGATATATGTGATCTTGTAACAAATAATAAAATGCATTAAATAGTAAAATAATAGTTTAAATATCTTTTTAATTTTTTAAATTTAAGATAAATTTATTTTTAATCTTTCAAATTTAAAATTAATCTTTTAGTCTATGTTATTTAAAAATAATATTATTTTATTCTTTATATTTAAATTTTATTAAAAAAATATGTCAAATATTGTTACATAAAATTTATTTATCGGTATTTTTGTTAAATTCAACTAATATTATATAATTATTTTAATTTATCACTTTTAGATATAATATTGATAAATAAATTTTTTAAAAATTATAAAAATTAAAAATAATAATTTTAAATTTAAGAGATAAAAAATAAATTTATCTTAAATTTAAGTTACTAAAAATATGAATAAGCCTAACAGAAAATTCAGAATCTATGTACATCGTACAGATGACAGCCTATGCTTTTAAGTGACAAAAAGCTTCTTCTTACATCGTATATTCGCATTTGCCGAAATCAACACAAGAAATGCGGTCTCAATAAAAAAATGGTATTATAAAATACTATATAACTAAAATAGGACAATCTTTTTTAAAATTAAAATTAATCTCAAAAAATTTTAGAGACACTAAAAGTAAGTTTTATTCTTTTATAAATGTATATATAAAAAAAATCTAACAATAAATATAATGCAACTTTATAATCTTATATTTTTATATTTAGGTTTAAAAAAAGAATGATTTAAATACTTTTCTATAAATTTATGATGTTTACTTTTTAGTCTTTATAATTGTTCTTACCGAGGATCCAAGGTAGAGACGATCCGCTGGGTAAGGTCGGTGAGCTTCCTTCACTGGTACGCTTGATGCTCCAAGATGGGGGTGATACCTGCAAAAGAGACTCTGATGCTAAAATTAGAATTTGTGTGAGTATGAGTCTCGTATAAGTAATGCACGTACCTGGTGTAAATTAGGGTTTCGTTGGGCCTTGCGCCTGAGATCAGTTATGACCTAATTAGATAGCAGACCTCGTCTTGGCCGAGGTCGTCCTGCGCTATGATGCCGAGTTCGAGCTCGGCATAGCGGTACGGATAGTACAATAATTAAAAGTATTTTATTTTAATTTTTATAAGTATTATTTTTGTTTTCTTTGTCCATATCATTTATAATGACTAAAATTAAGATAAAATTTATGAAATTATAGAAATTAAAAAGAAAAAAAAATATAACAGTATGTATAAAGTCTAAAATATAATATTTTTAATTATAACGATTAAAAGGTAAAATTTTTAAAATTATAAATACCTTTTTTTAATTATATTATTGGTATGAAATATTTATTGATTTTATTGAACCTGTTGATCGCCTTTAATATCTTTCATTTCAATTACATTTTTCCATACTTAATACTCAAATATAAGACATTGTCTTAAAAAAATCTTTCCTTTCAATTACATTTTTCCATACTTAATACTCAAATATAAGACATTGTCTTAAAAAAATCGAGTGAAAATCATTTAGATCAATGACTTATTGATATGAAATTACGAGTATTGAAACAATAGTTAAACTAAACAAAAATATATAAGAGATAATAAAAAATAACAAACAAAATATATATATATATATATATATATATATATAAAATATTATTTTGGCTCTTGTTAGTCATAAGTCCTAAACAGTTACAACTCGGGACTATATGTTCTAGGCGGACTTTGATAAATCTTCTATTATATTTCTTTTCATCTTTCTTTTTATCCCATTAATGGTAAATTATGTCTACTTTCATATGGTTTGTGTTTTTATTCATCTCATATAGTTTCTCTTATGTATCATGTATGAAATAATGATTTTAGATTTAAGTGAGATCAAAATTTAAAAAAATTATGAGAATTAACACAAAATTTTACTCATTTTATCATAATAAAAAATAGTGATTTCAAAATTTAAAAGGATGATAACAAAGTGTTTTTTTTACAAGCACCAAAATCAAAAAATATTTATTTTATAAAAATTAAAAACATATTTAAACATCAAATTATTTAGTAATATTATATATTAATAATTAATAAACACTAAGAACATAATATTATATGTTTATATATAAACATGATATTATTTCCATTGATAATAAGTATCTATTTAATGCACAACATTATTTATTAAATTTTAGAATATCATAAAAATAATTTTAATTAATTTATAAATGTTTTTAATGATAATAAGTCTAAAATAATTGAAATATTTAAATTCTATAATTATTTTAACTAATAAATTTTTATTTAATGATCTTTTATATACATTCTATTATATATTTAATGTTAATTGAAAAAATTAAGTATTAATTAATGAAATTATGAAAAGTTGTTTTATTTGAATGAGTGATGAATGCATCAATTAATATATAATTAAAAAATGAATAAAAAATACATCAGTAAATATTAATTTAATTTAATGTAAAAATTTAAGCTATATATATATATATATATATATATATATATATATATATATGTATGTATGTATATATGTATGTATGTATGGGTACATGTTGCTTTTAATCCTTCCAAAATTTTCAATTTTATTTTTGATTCTCTAATTTTTTTATTAAATTAGTTTTTTTAAAAAAAATTGTAACATGTTAAAATTGATTACTTATTTTTTTTTTATAACTCTGTCAAGCATGATGTCCTATTTAACAAATAAAAATATACGTGATAAATGAAACTTTTTTATTAGTCTTTCTAAAATTTTATAAATTTATTTTTGGTCTTCTAATTTTTATTTTATATTAATCTATGTAAAAATAGATTAAGCCGAGTCTAATTCATGAGATACTAATTTTACTTTGTTTATGTTGAAAAGTAAAAATAATTAAATTTTTATTTTATTTTATTCACTATTATAATAATTTTCAAATATAGTATATGTGATGATATCGTAAAATTGAAAATTAAAAATTAATTTCATAAATATTTATTAATCAAATATTATTTTAATATGTTCACTATTACAATATTTATATATTCATGAGTATAATGAAAAACATTTAACAATGGATCATATTTTTAGCTTTTATTTTTAGTCACAAATTTTAGTTCAGATTAAAATTTGTTTTAATTTTCCATATGTAAACATTTTATTATTTTATACATGTGGATAATAAAATAGAATAACATGTTTCATTCTATTATTATTGCATAATATTTCATACTATAAAACTGTCACTATTCTACTTTATTAGATAATTTCCTCCATGATAAACACTCACAAATATATAAACATCATAATAGTTAATAAAATAAAGGCTAAAATAGTTTTTTAATCTTTTATAATAATTGTTTGTTTCAATTTAATCCCACTTTTATTTTTTGTCTCAATTTGATCCCTAATAAATTAATTGGTTGCAATGTCGGACTTCCGTCCAAATTATTTAAACGGAGTTAACTGTTGGTCACGTGGATGCCACGTAGATGCATAGGTGGATGCCAAATTTTTTGAAAACACCTGGAACCAGAACGACCCATTTTGAAACCAGAATGGCCCGTTCTGAAACCAGAACGGGCTGTTCTAGGTGCACTCTTGGTGTGTTAATTTTGCATCTGGAACGGGCCGTTCCAGGTGCAAAATTAACACACTAAGAGTGCAACCAGAATGGGCCGTTCTGGTTCCAGACTGCTAAACACAAACGGTCAATGATTATAGTTCACGGTTGTGAATCGTGGAAGGAAAAAGACCATGGGTACAAAGCATTTCAAATACTGAATTTGGTAATATTGTCAATGGAAATTGATAACTTAAATTGCTAAACAGTTGGGCTATACAGTGTATCATTAAGGACAATGCAGTGTATCACTAAAGACAATGGTAGCAGATTTTATTTCGTTGTTAGTCAAACTGGATTGAACCACTTACTACCAAATTGACACTATATAGTAAAGGATGAACTGACATGGTATTTTTCTTTGAAGTCATTAACGATGTACCCCAACAACAACAACCTCTTCTTGAAGAGGTAGAATCTGAAGTAAAGGAAGAGGATACACAGTACTAACATTTCACCACACAACCATATGCAGGGACGAATCTAAGTTAATCATAGTGGGGGCACTTGCCCCCACTCAATTTTTTTTCATTCTTTTTTTTTTTATATATATATAAAATATTAATAATTTTATAAAATATATATTATTAATTATATTTTAATTATGTTGTTATATCTAATACAATAAATACA